ATAAAGGCTTCAAATTACAAATCCCATCTACTTGATTACAAATAAGTTGTCTAACCATTGCCTTGTTCCATATTTTAGATTAGCCATATTTAAAACAACTAAACAAGAACAACATGCATGCATTTGCGTCACGAGCTTGTTGTCTATGTAAATTGATATACGTTTTTTTGCATGTAAATCGTAAAAACCGCGCATATTAAACTTGACCCACAAAATTATTATTGGAATTAAAATGCTATTTTAAGTTCTAAGGCTGCTTGCCTTGACTTTGACAATTAATTCTGGTATCTACGCCGTAAGGAAATGAATAATTATGTCCATTAAATAATTGTTAAAAGCATTGTTAACATTATGCGTCAGATACTTTTAAATTAAAATAGATAAAAATCAATGTATGTTTGTGTTTTTAATGTGCCAGACAACCAATTGCATAATCTTGTTTTTTTTATATTAGCACGTGATGTTGAACAAGTTGTGCGCCTGGTGGTAAGCGACACGCCTGTCGCTTCGACGAACCACACTTGATAGAAGGAAGAAACAGGCTTTACTGGCAGTCAAGAGAGTTCTCTGATTTGTCTACGCGTTGCCGTTGTGGATTAGTAGAAGAGCTCCTGTCACGTGTTGTCGCGTTGCGGGTCTGGGTTGGAAGAGAACCTCGTATCACGTGATAGGGGAGCTTCTCTTCCAATCCAGACACGTTACAACACATTAGGGTGCGTATAAATCTGGCAAATGCGCCGCAAACTCGCTGCATGTGCGCTGCATGCGTGCAGGTAAATGAACCTTTCCAGGCAAGCAATTTAGTAGTAGCAGAGCTCCTTTTGAAAGAATTCGTCCAGAAAACTACTGCCACCTTACCTATTTCTGCCGCCAAGCAGTAATGTCAGCATTACTGTGTTCCGGTTTTGGAGGGTAAGGGTGCTGGTGAAATTACAGGCACATGGAACTTGTCAATTTGTGTCTCAGGGTGACGGGCGTAGTGGTAGTGCCACTCAGATTTTTGCAATTTAAAGCTCTGAGTGGCACTGTAACTGTTATGGACAGGTGTGTAGCTTACCATCAGGCGAACGAATTGTTCGTCCCGTCACTTGATGTTATAAAAAAAAAACAAGCATATAACTGCCTCAGTGGCCGAACGGTTACCATGCCGGACTGCCACGCAGAGGTCCCAGGTTCGATTCCCGGGCCGGGCGAAATATTTGTATGACCTACACTTATTTCTCTCGTGAGTTTGGGTGTAATTTGTGGTTGTCTATGTGTGTGTCCATGGCACCCGCGACACAGGGTTTCCCTAGTGCGGGGCTATGTTGAGTGTGTGCGTTATGTTATATGTAACACGCGAACGGCGACACGTATTGCGCGTGAGCGTCTCGCGCGCGCATTCGCCAGATCTGTACGCACCCTTAAATCAACAAAGATCTGAGGAGCACTGCCTCTACGCCCGTCACCCTGAGGCATAAGTTAACAAGTTTATTTATTTATTGGTGGGGTCTCATGTGCCTATAATTCGCCAGAACCCTTCGAAAACGTAACACGGCAATGCTCACAGTACTGCTTGGCGGCAGAAATAGGTAAGGTGGCAGTACTTTCCTGGACGAACTCTTCCAGAAGGAACTTTACTGCTGGTAATGGTTTTTACCTATGTTTGATGAACATTTGCTAAGCTTTTACAAGATCATCTTTTCTTTTCCCTGTTAGTGTAGGGATCTGTCATAAATGTTTCTTTAGGTTCACTAGGCTGATCGACTTGACATTTGGTAAATAAATCGATGACGTTACAACAATATAGTACCTTCACCTGATGCTGCAACGAGGCCAGTCTGCATAATAACCAACTCAGTAAAGCATTTGGGCTAGTGGCCAAAACTAATTATAATCGAAAAAAAAAAGTTTATCTAAGGGGTATCAATTCATACAAATTAACTTTAGTACATGTTTAAAACTGTAGATGGTGACACCTAGATAAATAAAAAACAAGAAGTATTGAATCACGAAAATTTGCGGTGTTATACGAAACAAGAAGTATAAAATATAAAAAAGAAATGCAAAACTATTTAAACAACACTTAGGAATGTTGAAATTAAAATTCATTTACAATTACGAAATTTGGTGAAAACATTTAACTGTTGTTGAAAAGAAAAAAATGTAAGGTTTCTCAATGGTCTTTTTTTTTGTTTTTTTTTATTGATTTTTCCAATCATAGCCCCGCGCTAGGGAAACCCTGTTGATGGACACACACATAGAACACCACAAATTACACTCGAACTCATGAGAGAAATAAATATACGCCATACAAAAATTTCTCTCGGCCCGGGAATCGAACCCGGGACCTGTGCATGGCAGACCAGCATGGTAACCATTTGACCACAGAGGCAGTTTTCTTTTTGATTTATTATTAGTTTGCAATCAATTGTATAGATGGCACCTCTTTCAATTTATTCTCGAAACTAAGTAGGTAACGTTATAACACCTAACTTTATAACACCTAACTTTTTATTTAAAATAAGTAACTAACTCAACTTCTCTGCGATTTTATTATGTTATTGTTTAATATAATGAACAAGACCAATAACCTTGATAGTTATGTAATAGCTGCCATCTGTTGGCCTTTTTGGTTATTATTGTAATGGGTTTTAATTGCATCGTGCTACCATCTATTGATCAGCGTAAAGAATCAAAATAAGCGTCCGAGTAAACGGAGTTACTATTGCGACATACCTTTGTTCATACAATCCCAACTGATCCCAATCATGAGATTGGGAGTACTATTTTTATGATATAGTATTATTAGCTGTGCTTTAACTCAGGAATTCGATATCGAGTTCTTAGATTTTCGCGATTGTTACATATTGGAAATGAAACTATTTTTATTAACACAAACCACTCCATTTACCACTAAATAGTTACAAAATTATAGACATAACTGGTTAAATACTTTAGTCAGTCTCCACACCCAATCGGGTAGTCTCGAAATCAGACGGGTTTCTGAGTGAGAAGATGAACCTGCTTCCTACTACATCTTTCTAATTTGTGAGTTAAATCAACTATTGTTTCGAAATCCGGCTAGAAATGTGAAAGGTTTCCGATCTACCAGTTGTGAATCGCAATTATGCGCCTCGATTCGGAAAAGACGCAGTTTCCGATCGGGAGAGACAATAAAAATCAAACTGTTATTAAGAACCCGAAAAGTTGGTTTGTTTGAAAAAACAAAATGCGCGATGTAATTCCGAATAAATAGTTTCATTTCCTACAGGAACACGAGTTTAACGAATATAAGAGAAGGTACTTGATCAAGTGAGAACCTGCACCTTTTTTGAAATCGGTAAGAAAACGAACGAGTGTAGGGATATCACATTTAATTATATTCACCATTATATCTGATAATTGATTAACAATATCATTATCTACAAATAGTTACAATAACAAATAATAACGGAGGCACCTTTTATAAGCGATTTTTATTTAACTGAGCAGATCAAAACAATATAATACACTAAAACCAATAATATGTACAAAGTAATACGAAACTTAGAAACTAAAGCTAGTTGTTTTAATAAAAAACACATATTGCAAGTATATGGAAGGAAAATTTTTTTTATTATACAAAAATGCATAAAAAATACAAAGATTAAAAAATTGTGACGTAGACTTTTTAAAAATTGCGTCTTTAAAGTTGCTATAACAGACTCGGTTTTATAAAAATAAAGTGCTTTTATTACAAACTATTGTCCTACATATTCATTCCATAACATTTCCAGACGTCGCACAAAACAAACCTTTCTCAAAGTTTGAATACAAGGAACTAGCTTTTAACACTCTTGGAAAAAGGATAATCCATTCTGGATATAATAAAGTCACATGTAACACATCAAAAGTGCCTCTATGACATTCATGTGATATAGTCATAAAAATGACAGGAACTTCATAAAACAAATTATGTATATGAGAAATTTCATAACTCTCCTGTTTAAGAGTCTATGCAACCTCAAAGAACTTTCGTTGATGCCTAACAGTGAAAGTTTTGAATCACTAACTTCGGAAAAAATATAATATAGTAAAATTTAGTATATACACATTGACTTACAAATAAATGGACGACGGGTCTAATACAAAAACCAGGAAAAAAATGTCCCAAGTCAACCTATTTAAACGTAGTGACATGTAAAGGAATATGAAAAATTTAAATTGTAATGTCATCACAGTACTGTCTAACTTTGCTTGCTTCGCTGCCAGTCGAACAAACGAAGACCAAAGCGTGAATGACGCTCTGTATACGATTTTAACGCCCTATAAGTTCGGACACTTTTTAGCGCGGACCCGACGTCCATATAATTGTAAGTCAATGTATATACACTAATTACAATACGGGGTGAAAACACGATTGCTAAGAAATTATCACGATAGAAAAAAACACGAACTTACCTAGATATTTTACAAGAAAACCGCATTCCTGTATTCAATAGGTACTACACATAAATATCAATTTTTTTTTTATATCAATTCAACTAAATAGAACACGTATAGTGTACGATATAAATTTTTCAAATAGCTTCAATTTCGTTTGTACAAAAAAAACATTCTGGTATAAAACCAGAGTCCCTGTCGCTCGGACCAAGCAAAATGTGCCGTATTAATACGGGAAAAATTTGAATTGAAATTGAGGTTGTATCGACCCTTAAGCATAAAAAATTATACACTAATTTGTTTCATAGAAGATTTAAACGTCTCCGGGAAATGTTGTCATTACAACATAGTTGCGACATAATCCAGTTGGATAAATTAGCACACACACAGTCCACTTTAAGCTCAAACGCACTAGCAAAGCACTGCACTGCAACGTCTACTTTTAAACACGCAATGCTTAGAGCTGTGCTAGTATGCTTAGACCTTAATATAATCCCACAATTACAACGGTATCTCTAATTATTTTTTCACAGCTGATCAAAGGCCGCCTCTTTTTTTCTACCATTTACGGTCCTTAACGCAATCTCTCCTACTATTTCCATCCGTTCATATCTTCTGTGTTGCGGCGTTTATTGGAGAGACCTATGTTCATTAGTTGACTTTTTTGATGATGCTTAAAAAGAACATATTTAAAAAATCCCCAATACCAATGAAACTTACGATAAAGAGGAAATCTTTATTTGTTAAAAAACTATGAATTAAGAGATTACTGAAAATCACTTGTTTCAGCTTCGCTGTAGTAGAGTTCAACCTTAGTGAATCGGTTGGTTCATTTTTATGGTTATAAACAATGGCTGCCAATAAGAACCAATGCACAAAAATATTATGCAATAAAAATTGAGTTTTTACGCTCTCACTCTGTTACTGAATAATCTCACATTTTCTTTCTATTGCAGTGTTAAATCACAAAAATTTATCAGTTGTCTATGACGAGCCAGCGATGTGTGGTGTGCTCTATTTGTTGTGTCAGGATAGGGGTGCGTACGCGAAGTTTTAATTCTAAGGATCCTCCCGCAGGTCTTCTGCCGTCCATGAGCTACAAAAAAAACCATGGTTCTTTGTAATTATTTAAGAGCTTCTTTTTTGTTTGTTATTGACGACGGTTCAGGTAAACTAAAGTTATTTAAATTTGTATTGAATTGATATTCAATTAATTTTTAATTTTTTTAAATTACTCCACTAGTTTGTTACAATTATTAGTACAAAGATCGAACAGTTAGAAAAAAATCCTTCGATCCAGTTGGACCATCAAATTTAATCATATAAATTTAATTACAGTTAATAGCGACATCTCTAGCCAGAGCTAGTAGCTGTAAAGTTACCTAACTGGGTGACGAAATACTTTCATAGATTTCTCGTAGATCTACGACTAAAAAGTCGTTGTAATTTGTATTTGGTACAATGATCCGGCAACAAGTACATAGAAAAAATCGTGACTTCCACTCGTTCGTTCCGTAGCTTAGTTGGCATAGCGTCTGGCACGGTTTGCTAGAAGACGTCGGTTCGAATCCGGCCGGATCAAAGGAATTTTTTCTAAGTGTTCGATCTTTATACTATTAATTAAAGTTATTTAATTCTTGTGGTGTATAGACAATAAAGGTACGCTGCGGTCCGCTTTTGCGACGCTAGATATCTGTTTGAACGGGCATATAGCACGCGCACGTTAACTAACCGACGACGGTTGTTTTATTGAGCTACCCCTGTACAAAGTAGTGTAAAAGTCACAGTTGTAAACATCTGTCCGTTTCGTCATAATTAAGAAAACAAAAGAGTAGAATAAAAAAAAACATTTACCGGAAAAGCTTCATGTATAGTAACATGGTTTTCGAGCGGTGCCAGCTTTACTATGACGGTTCCGATGACGGTGTCCTTCGAGAACCACCCGCTGCAACACAAAAAAGTGTCAGCGGCGCACGCGCAACATCTGCACGGCGCCTACGTCACTACGCTACACACACACAGCCCACAAGCAGGGATACAGAGGAGAAGACGAGATGTCGACATTAAGGGATAGCGTTATACTATTTTACATAATACAGGGTAGGTATTGAAACTAGATGGCGCCACAAACTCTTCAACTTACAGATAAAAAGACAAAAATAGAGAAATGCGACAGTTACGACACCCGGATCGAATTGCACGTTGCCTATAGCATAGTTATAGGGTTTTTCAACAAGAACTATGTATTGTAAATCAAAATAAAACAATAAATTTAGATGACAATTATTCAAATTTTTATTGTATTAAAAAAAGTAAGGTTTGGCAATTATGAATGGTTAATGATATCTGATAAATGTCCACCACGACCACAGTTACAGATGTCGATTCTTTCATCGAAGTTTTTAATAAATTTTTGATAAAATGGTGGGTCTATTTCGTTAATCACTTCACGAATGTTGAGTTTTATTGCTGCAATCGATTCGATTGGCTCCGTATAGACGCTGTCTTCAACATGACCCTATAAAATATAATCCAGCGGTGTTAAATCACATGATCGAGCTGGCCACTTAACGGCTGAATTTCATGAAATTATGCGATCGGGAAATTTGGTTTGCAATAAATTCATTGTTTCGGTGTGTCGTGTCGAAGCCATACGTACGTTGGCAAGACACTGACGCTCGAAAGACGCTGGTGTGGGGAGTCTCTAAACTTCGCTTTGATATACTACGTTTCAATCCATTTTGAACAAAACGTAAACAAACAAATCACTGACCCGATCATTTTTTTATTTTTTTATTTATTAAGGCTTTGGCAAAGCCATCAGCCTAAACATGAAGTTTAATTATGTCTCTGTAAATATGGCCGCCACAAAGAGGATAGGCAATTTGAGGCGGCGTGCTTGGATTGACTCGGGATTCCTTAAAACGGGCCGATGCGGGTATTTTAGTTCGAGATTCGTATAATTTCGCGTTTTAATCTTCTATTAAGGCACAATAGCACTATCCTATTCCACTTTAAACTAGATTTCACAAAATAATTGAAATTCAAAATAAAAACGACACTTTTCCCTCCAAAAGGTCCAGAGCGAATCCTGACCCGATCACAGATGGTTTAGTGATGGCCAATTGTAATGCCAACTACAAATCAATTAATTAATTGAATGAATCGATTTGCTTAATTGAGTCATGTTAGCGGTTTTCTTTATATAACCTATATAAGCATATATAAATTTCTGAAATCTCAATTTTAAATCCTCCTTCGAATCCTTACACTTAGATTCTCGTTAGATTGTGATTGAAATAATCGATTACAAAAACTTTATTTGAATGAACCGAATGTTTTTTTCCGTACAGCACTATGCAACCATAGACAAGTCATAGTTGACAAATAACCTCGCTTTTGGACTACCATTTTTCAAATACGATTTTACGATGCTATTCAAATAAATGTTGTTAGAAAAAGTGATGAGATACCGAGTCGAAATTTTCGGAATATACGTGAAAGTGTTATTCGATTTATTGAGTGATTGCTTTAGAATTTTAACCAAACAGTTTTGTTTACTTTACGTTCAAAACGGATTGCAACAGACTATATAGTTGACACAGTGGTATTTACATAGCTGCCTATTCATCATGAGCATCTTCTAAATTGTTTGTCACAGCAATAATCATCATCATATTCTGATATTGTAAGTATTTTGTATATGTATAGTATATTTGTATGTATGTAAGTGTATGTATTATATTATTAAGTAAGGTATTAGGTTAGTTTGTTATATATATAATTATGAATTTGTTTCATTTATTTTAATATAACCGTAATATTCTGTTTATTTACCGCGTTCGTGAATTTCGTTTTTCTCAGAGGTTGACTGGTAGAGAATGCTTTTAGCATTAAGTCCGCCTTTTGTACCCTTTGTATTGTGGTCAATAAAGTTAAATAAATAAAAAAATAAAATATTCACATAGCTACATAGTGATATTTACATAATCTCGCAAAACTACACTAGGTATTTATAGAATCGTGGTTGAAATATATACTATTGATTTGTAATATGTTCTCTTTTTGTCTTTAAATAAAGAGGAGCTTGAAATTTGTAAGTTTCCTTAATGATATGCAGATTCCAACTTTTCGTTGTCCACAATAGCAAATTTTTGCAGGGAAATAAAAAATGTTCATGTTTTTATGATAGAATCAATTAGAAAATGATATTGAGAACCCAGAAACAAAAATTGTGTTACACGATGTAATAGGACAACGGCGAACTGAAGGTTGTTGGACTACTTGTCTTATTATCAGTGATCCCAATTAAAGGAATTAATTTAGCTAAACTAAAGAATAAAGTGGACATTCCCTTCTACAAATCCCGCGACTTCTCGGAACTGATTATATTTGAATACTCTTATTATTTATTAAAATTTGAATCACTGGCGATAAATTATTATTTCCTATTAAGTATTTGCTACAAAGCATTATCTCAAATAATCGCAGTACAGAGTACTAAAAAAAGCGACCTCAAAAGTTCGTGAAATGACATTAATTTGTCAAGTTTTATTGAAATCGGTCACCGGAAAGTGTGCGAAACCGGATCAATCCCCTAGTTTTGCCACTTTTAGAGGTGGAATATTTTCTTCAAATTTAAATGGGACCATTATGAGGTGCCATCTTTCCAATAAAAAAAGAATCATCAAAATCGGTTCAAAAAATTGTCACATAAAATACATAAAAAAACCATCGAAAGGAGAATCTCCTTTTTTTGAAGTCGGTTAAAAAATAATATTGTAGTTGCGTTTCTATAGGAAGTTGCGTATTTAAATATTTTAGCCATTTAAAAAACAATAGACAACCTAGATTTTGGAACGTTTAGAAAATAAACACTAAACAATGAAATTTTATACGCATAGATGACGAAATGGGTATGTCCATATTAAGAAAACGTTCGTACTCTAGGTGGATTAACTTCCTTTAATTCCGATCATTTCTTATTATAATATGCTTGTAATATGAAGGAATGTCTACCGCCTTGTCACTACAGTACATGCATAGCCCTCCGAGCCCTACGTATAACCGAGTAAAAGCTAAAAGTATCTATCAAAAGCATAACTCAGATTTCGTGGAATCATCCAAGTATTTTATAGGCTACTTCCCATACTTATAGATATGAAATCGCATTAAGCTGTTCTGAAAAAGCTGTGTGTCCATGTGACAAGAGCAAACTCTTGTCACATGGAGACACAGCTTTTTCGTCTTTTCACGAAAAAGCTGTGTGTTTGTCTTTTATGTTTTTGTGATGTCTTTTTCGTTCTTATTGTAATAATATAAAACTTTTTCTGACCGAATCAAATTTTAAAAATGTGGCGTTTCCGTATTTCGATATTTTCCAAATGACAGAGTGCAGTATTATTTTTTTAATTCGATAGTATGGGAAAATCCAAAACCATAGAAGATACAAGGAAAGTATCTTAGGAACGTCTATTTTTATGAAAACAATTTTGGCATGGTCAATTTTTTGGTCAAGCGTGAGCTGTCCACATAAATGAATAAAATTTATCAAATTTTTTTAGTACTGATTGACTCCGTTTCATGAAGGGATCATTTCGAAAAATATCGGGACAGCAGAAATTGGTCAAATTAATTTTTTTTTAAATCACACAAAATTAATAACATTTTCTATGGTTTCGGATTTCCCCATACTGTCCCATTTAAAAAAAACACTTTCGTCCAATCACAATAAGAATGAAGAAAGCCACCTCCAACGGAATTCCACGTGATTGGTCAGCTTCAATTTATTACTACATATCACGCGATATCAAAGCCATACGATTGCCCAGTTTAAATTTCGAACTGCATTCCTAACGTTATTAAACGGTATCACTGTAAATAGCCCACGAAACTTACCCTCTTGAATAAACCTCAAGTTTGATCCCGTGGCGTTTGAATACGCGCTGGCATGGTCTTGCGTTGCGCTGTATGGCCAATTGGAACACAGTGTTGTACACGGGACTGTTTGTATCTTTTATTAATGGAGTACGGTCTGAAACTGGAGCATCCTGTGTGTAGAAAGAACACGTTATGTATTTCTATTAACCGCAATATACACATTTACTCCGTAAAATTTAGTTAGTTAATTAACGTCCTAAGAACTAGCAAACTACAATGGGAAAAAGTGCTAATCGCCCAATGTACATCGAAATGTAAATATTGAAAATATAATAATGTTATATATAAATATACATACTTTTTTATTGAATTAATATTCAATTATTGTTATGTGAAATTACTCCTCTAGTTTGTTGTAATTATTAATACATAGATCGAACACTCAGAAAAAATCCTTTGTTCCGGTCGGATTCGAATCGACGTCGTATCTTTGTATTTGGTTTTTCAAAGACTTTTTACACTTTTTAGATTTCTCATAGATGGCGCTACGGCTAAAAATTCGTTGAAAAACCAAGTACAAAGATACGACGCAAGCACATAGAAAAATTCATGCGGTCCGCTCGTTCGTTCCGTAGCTTAATTAGTATAACGTCTGGCATGGTATGCTAGAAGACGTCGGCTCGAATCCGGCCGGATCGAAGGAATTTTTTCTGAGTGTTCGATCTTTGTATTAATAATTATAAATATATAATCTAATAATAATAGACCCGAGAAGTATGCCCTCAGTTTCGCATGAAAAACGTATTTTTCTATACTAATCGTAAACTAGGATGATCCCCGTGACACTTCATTTGATGTTTGTCATAGGGATGAGGTAAGGTCGATTCTTAGTGTAATTTAAAAAGATTTTTAAAGCAAAAGTTTTCTCATAGATAGTTTTATTTTTCTGACGTATTCTGAACGATGTACAGATTTGTGTTTTTTTATATTGAAGGTATAAAACATACAACTGTAATTCAAATGCATTTTCAATAGATGTTAATTAATTACCTATGATTAATCATTTTTTTTATAATATCAAGTTATAGGTCAAACCAGTCGTGCGCCTAATGGTAAGCGACCCGCCTATCCATAACAGTTGCAGTGCCACTCAGAGCTTTAAATCACAAAGATCTGACGGGTACTGCCACTGCGCCCGTCACCCCGAGACATAAGTTGACAAGTCCCATGTGCCTGTAATTTCACCAGCACCCTTACCCTTCTAAACCGGAACGCAGTAATGCTAACGTTACTGCTTGGCGGCAGAAATAGGTAAGGCGGCAGTACTTCCCGGGACGAACTCTTCCACAAGGAGCTCTACTGCTGCATAAGATTAAGAATGAATACCGCACTATACATTTATTAAATTATCGAAAACTTTTTATCGATATACCTCATCTCTAATAAATGCAGTATAATGAAGTAACCTTTGCCTATCTACTATATTTAGGCCAGTCTGTATAATTCCTTCCTTCGCCCATTAAAGTTGGTTAAAGATATATATAGATATATGAGATATGCTTTTTACTCTAGTTTTACTTACTAAAGATATGCTTTTTACTCTAGTTTTACTTACCTGCGGATAAGGAAATTCAAATTTGACGTAAGTATCAATATCTTTAGGATTCGAAACGTTGTACGCGATGCCTCGCACGATCGTGAGCTCTAATTCGTTCTCGTTTAGATCCGTATTGCATTGCACCACGGAGAATTGTTTAGATTCGTAATGAAACTTTGGTGGTGATTGGTTTAAACTGAAAAAATAATAGTAGATAGTTTTACAAACGGTGTTAAGTGATTTATTAATACAGGGTTTTTACCTACTGAGGAACAAAGAGTCGGGGATAGCGCAACTATGCTTAACTAGCATTGGATTATGACTTTCCATTTCGGTAATTTAGTGGCCAAATGAAATCCGTGTAAATGTCGTGCCAATCAAAATCAGCGTGATTTACGGGAATCTATTGTTATCAGTCCGTAGATAACAAAAATGAATGCTTACTGTGCAAAAGTGTAAGTCGTAGCCAGTGAAATAACAATGTAATAACGTTAAATCCCTTTCCTGTAAAATTTGGTTCAGTGGAGATACGCGCCTTTTACCAATGCTACATACGCGGATTTGCAATATCCCCGACGAAAGACCGTAATACTTTTTTTAACCGACTTCAAAAAAGGAGGAGGTTCTCAATTCGTCTGTATGTTCTTTTTTGTTACGCGATAACTCAGGTATTGTGAACCGACTTTCATGATTCTTTTTTGTTGGAAAGGGGGTACTTCCATAGTGGTCCCATTTCATTTTGAAGAAGGGTGGCTGTTCACGCATGAAGATTCATTTTTATATTTAGCGCCTAACTTTAATTTAGGAGCAATTACTTTAATGGTTGATTTTGCTATTTCTCCAATTCAAGGCGTTTTTCTCTCAATATACTTTGAGTAGTGAGAACCGATTTTTATTATCTCCAGTGTCAAGTCCTGTATAGTGGCGAACTAGGGGATATTTCAATAAAACTTAGCAAATAGACGTAATTCCACTTTCTTTCGAGGTCGGTTTTTTTAGTACTCGTACTGAGATTATTATTATTATAATAAGTGATGGGACAAACAAGTACTGCTGGTAAGCGACACCCCTAGCCATAACAGTTGCAGTGCCGCTCTGAACCTTAAATTGCAAAGATCTTACGGGCACTGTCACTGCACCCGTCACCTCGAGACATAAGTTGACAAGTCTCATGTGCCTGTAATTCCACCAGCACCACCATCCTCGGAACGGGCTTTCCGGCTGCAGAGACGCGTTATACGGGCCGTGGCCGTATTTCTAATAATGAGTGCACACAGTCCGCAAACCGTCCTTAGGGTCTGTCTGCTGATACTCCAGATAGCCATGTATGCACGTAATCACTTGTATCAGTTCGTACAGATATGAGACAATGAACGGTACACACTGCCATAGGAGGCCGCCTCCGCGGCGATCTTGCACGATGCAATAAGCCATCGCGTATGCAATCTCCTACCTGACGATATCACTAGCGCTCCGAGCACGTCTTCCTTTCGCTTTAGGCTAAAAATGTAGCTAATCCAGAGCTTTTTTTTAATTTATGTATTTTTTTTTAATGTATGTATGTAATTTATTTTATTGTATGTAGGTTACTATTTTTATTTAAAATCAGCTTATAATGCAATTCAATGCATTCGTTTAGTTACTATTCTCATTGACATTTAAGGTACTAAATTAACATGTAATGTTTTGTTGTGAAAACTAACGCGGTTGTCAGACATTATACTCCTCCTTTTTTTTGAAGTCGGTTAAAAAGGGACTTACTCGCGTAGTATTTTAGTCGGAAGCGGTGCAATTACTTTCAACCATAATCGATGGTCTTCTTCAGGGGTTGAGTGCAACGTTCGCGACCGCGTCACGTCTAGCACTGCGCGCTGCGGTTCTCTGCGCGCGCGCCGACGATGCAGTCCGCAGTGGGGAACTCGGGGGGCTGATACGTTGCGTCAGCGCGTCCTGGAACTCTTCTTCGCTACTGCTGTCCGTAGAATTGTCGTCGGGAACAGTCCAGCACACAGAGCTCGCCACGTCGTTACCACTAACATCTGCAGCTGCATACCGAGCGCCATGAAGACACGGCTTCCAGGTTGATGGCAAGCTCCAGCCTCCGTCTCTATTAAAATTTGGTCGCCTACTTATTTCAATAGCCTCTCGGATTTTGCGGGGCACAAAATACTTCTCTCGCGCTAAAACCTTAGCTCTGTCAAAACGGATGTAGTGACCAGTACAGGAGCTCAGAAAGTGGTCTGCCACCGCAGATCCATTGACATCTTGGTTCTTCGTCATCATGGATCGGATATGCTCAGCTAGCCTAGTAGCCACGTTCCGTCTCGTTTCGCCGACGTAACACTTGCCGCAGTCACAGGGAACCATATAGACACCAGGGCCCTCCAAAAGGTCTCTGTCTTTGAAGAGCGAAGCAATTGTCGCAGCTGTGTGAGAGGACGTAATATTGTCTTGATGCTGTACCTTTGGCGTAACAAGTTTCCAACCACATCCGTCACCCCCCTGACATAAGGTAAGTGCGCAGTGCTAGACGTGACGCGGTCGCGAACGTTGCACTCAACCCCCGATAAAAACCATCGATTATGGTTGAAACTAGTCGGACCGCTTCCGACTAAAATACTACGCGAGTAAGTCCCGTTACTTTTATACTATAAAAACATGTAATGGAAATTATGAATAAATGATTACGATTATGTGCTCACATTGCTGACGACAGAAATAGGTAAGGTGGCAGCACTTCCCTCATTGACTTACAAATAAATGGACGACGGGTCTAATACAAAAACTACGAAAAAAATGTCCCAAGTCAACCTATTTAAACGTAGTGACATGTAAAGGAATATGAAAACGCTAAAACGTTGAATTTAAATTGTAATGTCATCGCAGTACTGTCTAATTTTGTTTGTTTCGCTGTCAGAAGAAACAAACGAAGACTGAAGCGTGAATGATGCTCTGTATACGATTTTAACGCCCGATAAGTTCGGACACTTTTTAGCGCGGACCCGACGTCCATATAATTGTAAGTCAATGACTTCCCTGGACAAATTCTTTCACAAAGAGCTATTTAGATTGTAACATGTATTCCACTTAGCGTCGCCTTAGAGTGAAAAGCTCGCATATGCATTTTCAGATAGTTCGTTTTTACCGATTTTTGTTGAAGAAAAACTTGAAAACTTCTTGCTCAATACCGATGCCTTACTTTCTCAAACTCGGATATTATAAAGAGTGTTTATTCAAAACTTTCTATTTATTTTAATTTTTTTATCAAGGGTGTTAATTAGGATGCATTAATTTAAGAATAGGTAAAAGCTTTCGTAAGAATACAAAGGAAATTTGATGTAAAATCAGCCTGCAAAATTTATATATACAATCCATTTTTTTGCACTTCATTACTTTGTGCTTTAAGATACGAGTTTGAGAGAAGTTCATCTTACTTTACGATATAGTATCTGAAAGAGGTATAATTTAACTAATTAAAATACTAACTGCAAATATTATTGCGTTTACTACATTTTAGACCACATTTTTATCTTCGTCCAGAAAAATTACATAAAAATCACATACATAGGTATTCACTCTATGACGACGTTATAGAGAGAGCAATAAAATGATTGAGTATTGAAAACTAACCTTTTAGCAACAGAAACGACATCCAAATCTTGTTTGACCCTTACGGCAGCATGTTCAAACCTGTTCATCTCGGCTATATTGCCCATCTCTCTGTAATGGTCTCTGTTAGTTTGGCATATTTTCAACTGGCTCGCTAGCTGCTGGTGCAGCTTTGACAGCGCGTCTTCGTCTGTCATAGAGTTTATTGACGCTACAGAGGCGTTATCTGGCGGATCACAATCTTCTGCTGATACCATATCGAAGCTGAAAAGTTTTAAATATTTTTTTTTAAAACATTAGTGCGAACTAGAGCCATATCACGTACAAGGGGTATCCACTGAATAAAACTAGCGAACTGCATTACACTTATTGTATTGCAAATCGCGTCATTCGTGTGACCCCCCAGCACCCCGCGCGCCCCTTGCAGGCCTGGGGGTGGATTTATTTAGCCCGTGTTTGATCGATGGTGCAACCAACATCTTTGCATGGTCACGAGTCACGACGACGTGTTGAAATTGCACACACATACTACACTATGAACTTTAATCAAATAATTAGCCTTTGAAAATATACAAAATTAGTAATAAATAATAATAAATAATGCACACACCAACATAGCCCCGCACTAGGGAAACCCTGTGTCGCGGGTGCCATGGACACACACATAGACAACCACAAATTACACCCAAACTCACGAGAGAAATAATTGTAGGCCATACAACTATTTCTCCCCGCCCGGGAATCGAACCTGGGACCTCTGCGTGGCAGTCCGGCATGGTAAACGTTCGGCCACCGAGGCGAGGTAGTGAAAGAATTGATAAAGTAAAAAATAACGTCGGCTAGCTTCGGCTTGCGTTGGTTTGCGTCGATAACAACGGTTTTCTGTAAGGTCTCGGGTTCGGGGTGTGTAATGGAAAATGTAACAACAAATAATATATTTTCACTTTGTATAACAACATTTGATATAATTCCTAAGATAATATAATCACTCACTATATATAATCAACAAAAGGTATAACAACAAAAGGCAATTTTAATGTGTATAATAAACCTTCAGTATAACAAACATTAGATATAATGATTAAGTGACATAATTAACAAATGGTATAAGTACCACCAGTATAATGTATTAAATAATACAACACAATATTTCATTTTATGCATAGTTGAAGCGCCCTATATTTATTCTGTATTACTACTGTACCTATGTTACTAAGCAATGTTAATAGGATTTTTTTTTATTTCATTAAATGTACCTACAATACGGCCGCTGCCGCGGGATATTCTCTGCGCTGGCTCGGCTCGGGCAGCTTTGTCATATACTAATCTAACCTAAACCCGCAGAAGGAGGTCGAACCAACTAGCAAATGCAAACAAATTCGGTTCTGGCACTTTGTTATATACTAACCTAACCTAAACCCACAGAAAAAGGTCGTACCAACTAGCAAATGCAAACAAATTCGGTTCTGGCAATATACGGCCGCTGCCGCGGTACGTTCTCTGCGCTCGCTCGGCTCGGGCAGCTTTGTCATATACTAATCTAACCTAAACCCACAGAAAAAGGTCGTACCAACTAGCAAATGCAAACAAATTCGGTTCTGGCAATCTACGGCCGCATCCGCGGTACGTTCTCTGCGCTCGCTCGGCTCGTGCAGCTTTGTCATATACTAACCTAACCTAAACGCACAGGAGGAGGTCGAACCAACTAGGAAATGCAAACAAATTCGGTTCATTAACCATTGCACTTAAACACCACAGGAATTATATTAATAATATACATTATAATCAGTGAATGTTCATTTTAAATTTTTATATAAAATGCCACATTTACACAGAACATTATGCCATCGGTATATTAGATTGAAAGTTGTTATATCAATCGTCTATTATACCCAGTGACCTTCATATCATGCAAGAATATGTCAAATGTCTGTGTACCATACATTAATTATATCTGTTGAACCGCAACCCTCGGGTTCGATCCCCGGCCGGGTCAATGAAGAAAACTAACTTTTCTATATTGTCTCGTCTCTCTCTGGGTGTTTGTTGTACCGCCGTTGCTTCCGATTTCCATAACACTATAGCTTTAGTTACTTACTTTGGGATCAGAGCAACGCAATTGATGTTGTCTAATATTTATTTATTATTGATGTAAAGGTCGACCGACACACAAAAATTCCTTCATTCCGTCTGAACAGGAAATTGTGTTTGTTGCCCCAACGTTACTACCGCTATACGAACTGAGATACAGATCGATTATATCCATTGACTTACAATTATATGGACGTCGGGTCCGCGCTAAAAAGTGTCCGAACTTATAGGGCGTTAAAATCGCATACAGAGCTTCATTCACGCTTTAAGAATGATTCACGCTACACCGTGTCGCGACCGAGCCGTGAAATGTCGGTGGGTATTGTTTCCCGGCTCTGGCACGGTCCGGCCCCAACACGTTGTAACATGAACATATGCATATCTCGTAATCTATTAATTCTTTGTAAAGTAAAGCAAATACTCCTTCTGCTTCTCGCTTTCTCCAGGTTGGATGTACACTCCATCTTCTTTTAGAAGTTTCGCTTTGTTTTTCCAATACTTCGTCATCGATGGCAATTGCAATAGCTGCCAATTCAAATTGTGAAAATTGCATATTTACATAAGCGTCAAGTCAATCGACAGATGAAATCACTGGCTGACAAAAACCACATAACACAGATTTCGTGCAAATAATACACTCAAACAGCCCGGTGTAACATGAATGACTGGGCCGACCGGCGCACGGTGGACGTGTCCCGGCCGAGGCCCGGCCCGGCCGCGACACGGTGTAGCGTGAATCATCCTTTAGTCTTCGTTTGTTCGACTGACAGCGAAGCAAGCAAAATTAGACAGTACTGCGATGACATTACAATTTAAATTCAACGTTTTAGCTTTTTCATATTCCTTTACATGTCACTACGTTTAAATAGGTTGACTTGGGACATTTTTTTCGTGGTTTTTGTATTAGACTCGTCGTCCATTTATTTGTAAGTCAATGATTATATCCAATTTTATTGTCGATTCATGAACTTTAATATAGGGATGGACAGCCCCATATCTTTCTACATTACTAACCCCGGGTCAGCACGTTTGCATGGACTTCATCCGGTTCTTTGTAAGGCTAGTGCATTAGGTGAGCCGCCCCGGGTACAAGTACAGCACCCTCCCTATTTTTCAGATAGTTACCGGAACTAACTAACTAACGGTTGCCACCGCTGAGCTGCCGACTACCAAATCTCCCAATTCATCACCTGAATAAACGGCGTCTCGCCAGTTCCCAAATTCCTACGCGGCCGGAGGGACCGGAAGATGTCTAGGTCAGGGATAGGGATCAGTCATGTAGTTTTATTGACTCACGTGTGTTCAATCTGTGTCTTGGCCCGCGGCGGCAGTGGCAACGATTTGAGGTCGACAGCCAAGCCACCACGAGCGGCGTCTATCACTGAATCGAAACCTTTTGCAGCGCGAAGGTACTCCTTTGCTTGTTCCATATCACCTGTTCAAAATTCATTCAAGCTCAAAATTTAAACTGACCAATCACAACTGCGAAATAAGGTAAATCAAGCCGCGGGATTAGTCAGTCGGTATATCCCAAATCATTCGATCAATCAAATTATTTAAATTAATCGATCTTGTTGCACCGTAGTTAGAATGCAAATATTACTTAGCTTAGTTTTAGAGCGACTTACCATTCTTCTTAGATTTCAAAGCCGCTTCCTTGAACTCTTTCTGCCTCAGCAGCAGGTAGGCCAGCTGCTTGTCGTGTCGCGACAAGACTGGTTTGGCCGAAGGCCGCGGAGAGGGGGAGGGGGACGGGGCGGGGCGCGATGGCGTCGCGCTAATGGCAGAGTGTGCCTAAAACAAATACATAGTCGTATAGTATTATCTTAGGTTTGTTATATCTCCCGTTAAATTATAAAGGTTTTAAATGACAAAATTGTGAAAAACAACAAACCTCGGCAGACCAAGAGACACCATAAATAAAGTGATTTCATTTATATATTTACCGTATTGTTTAAATGAACATCGAACTACGAAACAGAAAACAAATCGTTAGATTTCCTATTCTATCCGGGTAGAAGGACCAACTTGTTGGGTATTCCCCTTTACTTCAATAAATTCTTCCTGTTTATTAAAACTTACGAAATAAGTGGACTGTATAATAATAATAATAATAATAATAATAATATCTTTATTAACACTTTTGCCTTATAATTAGTACAGAACAGCAATTTTATTATTTATTTAACAAAATATTATTGGTATAGATATAACGTAGCACAAAATATAAATACCTAATATAAATAAATGTATACCTTTAAAACTTATGATTGAACACTTTACCTCTATCCTAACAATCGTGATCTATGTTCATCTGACTTAGCTCCTTATATAAGTCAAAATTATGAATGCCTTACAATTCTTATTAGAATTAGAATCTTATATATACGCCGATTCGGTGTCTCCCACACCGTACCGGCCCTATCAAGGCGCCGCGAACGCGTGTCGGCCGTCCGTAACACAAAAATTTCTGAACAAGTGCTGTCTCGCCCACACAACCGCGCTTAAGTCAGGACCGATAGAGACAGCAACACTGACGTCATAGTACATGTATAAAAATGTGATTTATGTTAAGAAGGACACTAATTTTTTTTATGGAATATTAACACGAGGAATGGAAATAAACTTTTCCAACAGTCATATTCACAAAGACACAAATACATTTTAGAAGCGATGTAAAATACGCTTCAGTAATACGATCTCCGTTGATATTCCAAAACTGCCATTTACTAGGTCTAAAACTATTTGAAACAAAAACTTTATATAAAATGTATTATTACAGTTTCTTCATATTTGGATTACAATTCGTTTAGCTGTAACCTGATAATATATACACATATTTCTCACTATAATAATTTAAAATGAATATTGTAAATGATACATGTGAACAAATATCTATTCACGAAAAGCAACTCCGTGAGCTTCTTTCTCGTTCTTCTCCGGGGATCTGACTTTTTATTTATCAATTAAATTTTTATTGAATTGATATTCAATTATTTTTTGTGAAATTACTCCACTAGTTTGTTATAATTATTAATACAAAGATCGAACACTCAGAAAAAACACTCAGAAAAAATTCCTTCGATCCGGTCGGATTCGAACCGACGTCTTCTTGCATACCGTGCCAGACGCTATACCAACTAAGCCACGGAACGAACCAACGGATCACACGAATTTTTCTATGTGCTTGCGTCGTGTCTTTGTACTTGGTCTTTCAACGACTTTTTAGTCGTAGCGCCATCTATGAGAAATCTTTAACAGATTTATCACCCGGTTAGTACCTTTACAACTACCAGTCCTGGCGAGAGATGTCGCTATTCACTGTATTAATTAAATTTTTTATTTTTTATTTATTTATTAAAAAAAACTTTTAAACTATCATTACAGGTTTAGCCTAATGCGATAGTAAAGCAAGATATCAATGTCATCACACCTGCACGTAAATAGTACGTTTGCATGCAAGCTAACTTGACTATAATGCCCCGAAATAAAACCCTCAGGCCATTTTTTTTCTCATTACCGTCCATGGCTGTAATGAGAAGAAAAAGGTCCCCAGGGTATCATTTGGGGCATTACAGTCAAGTTAGCCTGCTTGCAATCATACTATTTAAATGTAAGTGTGATAAAAAACATTGTATGTTTCACGGGCGGTACAGGAATTAGGAATCTCGACTCCGAAAGCCGCCAGCTTTCGACTTCAGGGGGCCTACCATAGCCTTACCAAAAACAATCTTATTTCAATGAAGCTTAAAGTAAGCTTATTATAACATTACTCATATTCGTACTATGACAAACCTGTCAACCAAGTAATGTATTATTGCTATAGTGATTGAACAAATGATTTCCCAATATTGCCTATTCCTTACTAAAAATAGGAAAGAAATAACGCTATATGAACTATATAATGCCATCTCTTTCTTTTTTGATGTTCCGAATCGTCTTATCGCAGAATGTTATTTACATTCAGAGAATTTTAACTGTTAAAAAAGAAAGGTATGCAATAATGAAAATCTATTAAAAATCTATTTTTCCGCATTTTCATGAAGAAAAATAAATAAAACAAGCTGAGTCTTGATTGCTAGATTAACTGTTAGTGTCGCCAAGGAGCATATAGATGGCGCTAACATAATTTTACGAAATAAACATCACGTATTTTTATTTAACGAGATATGATTTCCTATATACTATTAAATAAAAAAATAAACAAAGTATTGAAGAGATTTATGTAAATAAATAAGTTCAACTTAACTTTCAATCATTACAAATCAATATTAGACAATAAATTCGAAAATAATATTGTTTCCACTGCGTCCGAGTTTTAAGATTGATTAATTTGACATAAGAACAATATTACTTTAATGTTAAAGTCGAATCATAGTACGAACTGACTGAAGGCATAGTCACAAAGCTGCCAATAAAACATCATAGTTTTAACATTATAATAAGCTTACTTTAAGCGCGTCATGGCACGAAAAGTCAATCTAAGGTTACAGTAACATTATTTTAAGAGGTTGTGGTAGGCCCCCAGGCTTCTAATAATCTCGTTCGTAATCCCTTATTTAAGAGCTCTCGTGCCAAAAAAGTTTTGACGTTGGCTCCGCCCAAATTTGTGAGACAAATATATACCTAAAGTTCGCGTGACATGCGACAGGAGATGTTGAATTTTGCGCATTAAAAGTACCAAATTCGTTTTAGCGGAATAACTCTAAAACTAAAGGGATTAAAAAAATCCGTAGTGACAGTTGTCGACGATGCATAAATATAATTAATTATCTAATTTTTGTCCTAATAACCTGTAGCATTTCGAGGATAAACCGAAAAAATGTGAAAATTAGAGGTTATTTCCTGCTTTTTATCTATCGAGGAAACTTTATTGTTTTATGTTTCTGATTAATGTCTATGCTTGAATATATCGTGTAGTTACTCATACAATATTTTATTTTAAACTTTAAAGTGGATATATACCCCTCTAAAATCAAATCGAAGATTAGGAATTTTTCCTCTGCTCCCTCTTAACCTTTTACAAGTATTATGATAAGTATTATCTAGTACAATGGTGTACGAATGAGTCATAGTGTTCAATCAATTGACGTTTTCAAGTGTACCTTGCTTGCACAGATATCTTGAATTTGAACATTATTCAATTAATATCACAACAACGGTATACTCACATTGTCAGTAGGAAAAGGCGCATGCCCAGCAGGAGTAGGTAACTCATCAGTGGCAATAGGTTTGCCCGCTGCATGTAGTTTGATCGCGTCCTGGTATTGCTTCACGATTCTGCTCATGCGTCGCGCTTTCGATGCGTTGCCGTCTTCTTTGGCTTTTGCTTCTTGTTGCTATAAATGAAAAACGTTGTCAATAGTTATAGGATTTGTATTTCCTATTGGTGAAACAGCAATAGTTATTTTGCGCAACACACGAGTAAATTCAAGTGTATTGTTCGATCTGCATACGGTCGTTCACGTGGCATTGCTTAGTGTGACGGAGAAACGTTGGCTTGACCAGATTATTCGAATTTTGTGGAGAAAAGAGAGCTAATGTTCGTTTTATTCATATTAATTCATGTTGTATTTGGTAGTTTTTGTTCTGTTCACGCATAATGAAATAATTTGAAGCGCCATCTGTTAGCACAACTTTGAAGTTTAACTGCCTCCGTGGCCGAACGGTTACCAACGGACTGCCACGCAGAGGTCCCAGGTTCGATTCCCGGGCCGGGAGAATTATTTGTATGACCTACATATATGTATATCTCTCTCAGTTTGGGTGTAATTTGTGGTTGTCTATGTGTGTGTCCATGGCACAGGTTTTCCCTAGTGCGGGGCTATGTTGAGTGTGTGCGTTATTATTATTTGCGTTATTAAGTACATTGTTGAGAGCTGTCAATCAACCTTCAAAAGCAGAGTGTCTTTGAACGGACTGTTTTTCACTTGTGCATCATATCACAATAGTTAAATTATAAAGCACATCTTTAGTTTGCGAGTGCGGAAAGAAACACATTAAACCAACTGCTATTCCGTGGTAGAATTTTACTTTTTACCATGAAAAGTATAGAAATGCTAAGTCTATGTATATAGGCCAAGTTTTAACATTTTCAGTCTATTCTATATAATAAAATTGTCCACATCAATATCAGTTTAGTTATCAATACTGAGAATTGTCTAGTTAAAAATCAAGTGAAATCTATTAGAATAGAAAAGAATGGTGTGATTTATTTAATATTATCAATGTCACAGTATTGCAATTTAAAATATAATATCCAGGGATAATATGATCGTCACTTATATAAACAACAACAATGAATATAAAACAAAATAGTGAATTTAGTTTCACTATTTTGTTTTATATTCATTGTTGTTGTTAATATATAAATAAACACAGAATAATATAATATTATACGAATACAATGACGTCAAATAAAATTACAATTTCTTCGAAAAAAAAATCTCTAAATTTTGTTGAATAATACGTACCTGGAACGCTGCTAGTCGTTGCCTCAACGCCTCACCAAGTGATGACGCAATTATCAACCCACCACCGCCTACGTCCGCTGCGGGTGCGGGGGTTGGTACAGGTTCTAAATAACAAGGCAATTTAACAAGAAAATTTACGCTAAACAAGTTACATTCGTTCATGACAAAGGGCACGATAAGAACTAAAGTTTCCGTGTAAATGGCTGGGTGTCCCTAATTGCCACCTGGAACGCAGCAGGACCAGGAGGAGTCGTTCAATTGGATATCGTTCTCGAATCGAAGCTATTCAGAACATTTGAGTTAAACGTTCGAACGAACGAATAATAGAATAAAATAAAGAATAGGAATGCATTTGCGTTACTGCTAATGCATTTATTGAATGCATTATTTAAAATATTAAAAGATTTCCATATTACATTCTTGCTTTGTAAACAATAATAAATAATAATAATAATAATAAATAACGCACACACTCAACATAGCCCCGCACTAGCGAAAACCCTGTGTCGCGGGTGCCATGGACACACACATAGAAAACCACAAATTACACCCAAACTCACGAGAGAAATAATTGTAGGCCATACAACTATTTCTCCCGGCCCGGGAATCGAACCTGGGACCTCTGCGTGGCAGTCCGGCATGGAAACCGTTCGGCCACGGAGGCAGTAAATAATAAGACTCTCGGTAACTTTCATTCGATACCTGTGTTCTGAATAACGTTTGTAGCATTTTCTGGTCGAAAAGCTCGAATAATCGTACGAGTGTGACGTTATTTCGGTTCGGTATGGAATAAGACAGTTTGCCCGAATCAAACTGTAGTGAGTAAAAATGAAAAGAAATCGTACGATATCAAACCGATTGGTCGACAACTATCATAGGGTTCTGAATAGACCCCATTGTCACTAACTAGATATAGCGTTGTTAAAAGTGGAAGACAGAAAAAAAGAAAAATGTTTATTTGCAAAGTGCAAACCCTAGAGTTTCTTACTCAATCTTTTCAATGAATCTGAATTACGAATGTGTAGTAGAGGTTAGTCTATATGACGATTTCGAAGTAAATAGTATTTGAGTTTGTGTAAGCATAGGCACATGCCACCGTAGGAATTTGAACCTGTTCTCTCGGCAAACCCGTCTTAATTGGATCATTGAATTATGGACATAAAATTTGCAAAATAAAGAAATGGCTGGTGGGTGATATCTTACCACTGGCATTCTGCACTACGTCTTCCCCCTTCTGCTGGGACTTAAAAGCTGCCGCGATAGCCTCCGGTGTAGGCAGTTCACTCAGATCCATCTCCTGTCCATTCTTATAGGCATCGACAACGATATCGAACTGTTTGACGACTTTTAGGTACTCCAGAGCTAATGCTTTGTCACCGGCGTTCTTACTTGACAGAGCTGCAGCTTTGAATTCTTGTTTGCGTCCTGGAATACACAAAAAAATAGCGATCACAATACATAAGGCATATCGGCTTCATGTTTGCTAGACGTGCAATAAACTTCTATTTTTAACTTGACAGCCTGTATTATGTAGTCCAATAATATTCTCGACTAGCTAATGAATGTATGTAAGTAGTGAGAGATTTTTGAATAAAAAGTTCTGTGTTTGAACATAATATTAATAATCATAACAAAACTAGTGAGTTATTTCACAAAAAATCTCAAATAATACATTTGATCGGTTGTGATACCTGTAAAGGTATCGGCTCCAGTGAGAAGGTTTTCCTAAAATCTCTCACTAGAGTCACTAGCGGAGACGCAACGAATGCCAAAAGTCAGTACCAAGATCTATAACAAAAACACAGGAGAATTTCGACAATTCGGTAACTTGACATGTGTCTCAGTTGGCAAGAACAATGCTACGGTGCGGCTTCGTGGATTAAAATCCCACCAGGTCGTAGAAATTTTTCTGTATTCGATCTCTGTATCAATAATCATAGATAATTAACCTTATAGTATCGATGGCATGCCACTATAATGCTTGCCAGGGCCGTTAGAGGATTTGCCAATCGGCGTAAGGTGCTCATCGATTGTAGTCCAGGGTGCGCCAAATGTACAGGAAGGTACGTCGTGTGGGTAGACTCTTTTCGTACACCCCTATCCCTGCCCCACTTAGCCTGAGCGTTTTCACTGTTCCATATACCAATTAAACTGTCTTACTCTACCTATAATTTTCTTTTCCAATATGTTTTCTCTAATAGACGGTCAAAACCCATGACCTTAAAACAGGTGGTCAAAACTGCCGCATCGAGTGCCACGCATCTCTGTCACAGACACTTACTGCCTATCTCCAAGTTACAACGGGAACCATTACGTGTTCCTATGTTGCTTAAAATTAACAATACAAATCTTTAAGAATCCTACTAATCCATATCTGATTTGTTTCCCTGGCTTTATATGTATTCAGTTTAATTGTTCTCTTCTAAAACATTAAAATTTCAGCAGAAGAGTCATTGTTGAGTCAATGGAATCAATTCTTAAAAATTTAAATGACAACTATAATGTAAACTAAATTCAACTCACTCAATATTATCTGTATTCCCTGCTGTCTTGCAGGGTCCAAACCCTGACTTTCAACTCTGGGTGGTGCTGGGGGCGGTTCCTTAGGTTCCGGCGAGATTGGCGGTTCCGGTTCTGCCTCTTCAACAGGTTCTGTCGCGGGTAATTCAGGAGCCGAAGGTGTTTCCGGAGCTGGAGGTTCAGTAACTGTTGGCTGTGTCGCCTTAATGGGAACTGGAGGTGGGATGTCTGCGTCGTTGACAGGTTTGCCTGCTTTTGCGTGCTTGAGTAGATCTTGTAGCGTTTTAAGGCCGCGTGCGAACCTTGGAGTAAAAACAACGAAAAATAAGTTATGGTATCGTAGCCGCCAGACCCAAGTAGAAAATGTTGAGGATCTCGATGAGCTTGTTAAATTACTGACGATTTATTGTTGACGGTAATATATTGGCAATAAGTAACTGGTTTACAAGAGTAGTGCCATTAATCGCTAAAAAGTGGTGGTTTCTTATAAAAGTACAATTCAAAGTGAAAGTTCTTTTTGACCGTTGTTAGTTCATACAAAAGTTCTTTAAATATGTGGTAAGGACGAAATAACATGTTTGTGGTGTTAGTTAATTGGTTCAAAATAGAACCTCCGGCCTACATAATGTGCCCTTGACGAGCATTTAGTTACTGCTTTGAAAATTGCATTAAATTAAGTTGCAAAAATTCTGTTGCATTCACAACAGGTATTAATCAAAACAGTCAGTAAAAATAAAGAAGAACAAACAAATACCTTCTAGCCCGACTGCTTTCACCGGTCTCCTTGGCATGTTTCTCAGCAGCGGTGTAGTTCAATATTCTGTCTTGCAGTAGGCTGATGGTGCTGCTTTCGGTACTTAAAGATGGTGGTGGCGGGGCGGGACGAGAGCTGCGTGGAGGTGGAGACGGAGCTTGGTCGGGAATTACCTCTTCATCTTCTATGCCTAGTTCTTTTAGTTCATTCAGGAGATCTGGGTCATTTTCATCTCCTAGTTGATGAAAAATTTAAGTAACTTAATGTGATACCAACAATAAAAAACCAGTATGTTCAACACCAGATGAGAGAATAACATTTTTTTTTGATGGAGCTATGACAACTATCGATTATCTCCAACCATGGATCAACGTATCCATAGCTCCAAAGAGATATCACATAAAAATGTCAAGGATATTTTGTCAATACAAAACAACATCATTGATTTTTTCTCTTAGTCATGGTAATGAAAAGAAACAAGATTGTTTTGCTTTCAAATTTGTTTATTTTTATGAGTCAGCAAACCACCTTGGACATATACTTTTGGATCCCCAAAGGTCCACAGATTGCAGTTTAAGAAACATTGCTCTAATGACTCCTGATAACAGTGAACGGAAAACAGATTGTTGTTTCTTCTTTGTGATAGACTTCAAAGAAGAAACAAAATAAATTGTGAGGCCCAAACCAGTACCTTTATAATTCAGACCAATTTAGAGATGTTTCTTAAATTATTTCTACTATGAATCGAACTCGAGACCTCATCTAGCACCTAGAGTCCTAGACTGTTAACACTTTAACATGATGAAAAGTGTTTCTAATGACAGACTATCTTAAAGGTAACCTTGTCAAATAAATGTGTAAATCACACATTTTTATAAAATTAAATTAGTTAACACTAGTCTAAACTAATATATGTATGACATATTATGGTACCCGCAATTTTGTCTTGAGTACAATAAGAACTGCACTATATTCATTTTCATTTTTATTGGTTCGCCATACAAACTATCATCCCCTATTTCACCCCCTCTAACATTGACTTAAATTATATAGACGTCGGATCCGCGCTATAAAGTGACCGAACTTATAGGGCGTTAAAATCGTTTACAGAGCGTCATTCACACTTTAGTCTTCGTTTGTTCGTCTGATAGCGAAGCAAGCAAAATTAGACAGTATTGCAATGATATTACAATTTAAATTCAACGTTTTAGCTTTTTCATATTCCTTTACATGTCACTACGTTTAAATAGGTTGACTTGGGACATTTTTTACATGATTTTTGTATTAGACCCGTCGTCCATTTATTTTTAAGTCAATGCCCTTTAAGGTTTATTTTTGTGACAAAAGTACCCCATGTCATTCTCCTCCCATCTATCTCTAAATGAAAATTCATCAATATTGGTTGAGCAGTTTAGGGGTGAAAACAAAAACAGGCAGAGTTACTTTCGCATTTACAATAATAGTTTATATAAACAACCCTACCAGATGTATCTTCATCAGATGGCACATCCTTCAAGCTCTGCGCGATCATAGCATCTAAATTTCCGCTAGCTACTGGAGCCGGCTTCCTTGGACGGGTTTTTTTGGGCGCCCCTTCAATCGCCGCCAGCTCTGCTTCCAGGTCAATGTCATCATCTGATAAGTCCATTGGTTCATCTTCATTCTCGAAGTCTGGGATGTCTATTAGACCATACTGCAATGAAATAATTCTTATTAGACAATATAACCCTATTTATTATGAGTCATAAGAATACTTGCAGAATAAAGATGATATACTACACTATACACAACTAAATTACCTTGTCAGAGATCACGTGTATTACTGAGCAAACTCTGTAGCACTGTGAACATTAGCCAAAGTGGAATAGTAGCAAACAATTAGAGTAAAATAAACTTATAAAATTACAGTCTTTCTAACTGTCCAGTCATAGGCACCAGGAGCTCATAAAACGAAAGATCTGTTTTACGATCACACAACACAACCCTTTGTTGACAGATCGTAATCAGCTGATATCAAAGCAACAATTACTATTGCACTTCCTGTACACTGATAAGACTCGTAGGAGCTCAGACCCCTTTAAAAGTGATAGCTACACAATACTGGTACAGAATAAACTGAGATTGGCCCCGAAGGCAAACAAATAAGCATGACTCACTCACCTGAGCCAAGTTCCCACTCCTTTTCCCGGAATTAGGTTTTTTGCCGAACATTTTCACTATTTAGCATAAGGATTCTAATAACTGACGGTTGGTTAGAATTTGTATTAATAGCGTGCACCTTTGTTCTCGAAATAAATAAATATTTCTCAAACTTTTTACTTTTTCGCGTACCTAACGAAATTGAAGATTTGACAGCTATCAATTTCGTTCATAACTTATTTAGGAATTTGGATATAATGAATTTTGTAATAAAAGTTTCAAATTATAGTACTTCATGAAGCATTATTTTTTTATTTTCTCACCTTCAAGAGTATTTACCAATTAAAAATAAAACAATTAATGAAAAATTACAAATTTTTACTAAAATTATTAACAGTTTCGTGGACATATGAAATGGCGTTTCTTGTATAAAATCTTTGCCTGTATAGTGACTAATAAAATTAAAAATGTAAGTAAAGTGCTGCCAGTTTAAGTCGATGATTTAAATGTCAGGGAAAAAAATATGATTTGAAAAAATTTGAAATATTTTTAAAATACTGGTATGACATTTTAATACTATTGCTGGACGTGTATCAAGTATTTTTTTTAGTTTGAGTAGAATTAAATCAAAATGTTTACTTTCGCGCAGGATTTATAAGAGGATAGTAGGTACTTTTATGACTACAAGGTAAATAAAATATTGGCGCAGCAATACACATTTCATCGCGAGAGTGACGTATGAACGGCCGAAGAAACGAAAACGAAGAAAAGCCTCTCTGTGCCGTTGTTATCTTCTATCATTTCTGAAGAATGGAGACAAACGGCCAGGCAAATGGGGTTAAATCTAGAAAGAAAGAAAACGCCGACGCGAAGGACAACCTGTGGTAACAGTTGACTGTTAATTTTTCGAGTAACATTCAGTCCCCCAATAAGGGGTTCCAATGTGTCACACCTACGTGATGTCAAGCCTCATACCTGAGAAATATGTGACCTGGCTGCGTTGTCTTACCTTTGTTTGTAAAATAGCCGTGGAATCTTTTCACATTGCATTGAAACAAACTTATTTATACTCCAGGAAGAGCTTGCCAGGAGGTTTTTTTTTACTTGCATCGTAGCTATAATCCTGTGTTCACAGTGGAATGTTATTCTTTCAGGTCTGCGATCTTAGAGGAAGTCCAAAATCAGGGGAACACAAAACTACCTTCAAACAAAAATGTATTAGTTTTGGGTGACAATGAAACTGGAAAAACCACACTCATAGCTAAATTACAAGGAGTGGAAGATCCTAAGAAGGGGTCAGCTCTGGAATATGCATATATAGATGTTAGAGATGAATATCGGGATGGTAAGTATGTTTGTTTGTCTGTGACACACTTTCTATGATGCATAATTAATTAGTGAGAATGCTAAACAATACAATGGTGTTACTGCATTGCTGTGTCAACAAATTATAATGCAGAACAACTAGTATGTATCTACTATTTTGAAATAAAAAGCTTACGGAATGCATATAAGATAGAGCAAAAGTGTATTGAACTCCATTCACATCTAAATTTAGTTTGTATTATTCTAAGCATTCCCTCTTTTGCTAAACTAAATTGACATAATTAAGATAGTCATCCTTTTTCACTCTCTTATTAAGTTTAGAAGGTTAACAATAATCTAAAATCCCCCAAAATAAGTTAGAATTTAATATCAGAGGAAGATTTTAACAGGTGCCACTATCATATTTTTAACGTTTCAAGTACACGCTCTTGATGCCTGGCAATCTAAGATCAAGCGGGTATCTAACATGCAAAATTTTTTTACAATACCAAGTGATAGAATAAATAAATTGCTGTCCATAAAAGTTTCACTGCAATCTTAAATCACTAAGATCTGAGAAGCATTGACAAGTCCCATTTGGAATGCACCTAAGGAGGAGGGACCTAAAGCATTTCCTGTCCACTATGACATGTGTTTATTAAAAAAGCACATAAACAGGGCTCTCAAATTGACTTTGATTTTTGACTTGGATTTCAAAGCTCCTCCTCTGGGATGTACCTCCTCCCAACAAGTGGATTGCCTGGTTGCTTACCTCCTATTTTACATAAAAAATAGCAATATTGACACTATTGTTTAGGTAAATATATAGCTTAACCAATAATGTTGCAATGAAATATAGCACTTACATAGTGCTCACTAGCAATCGATTGTCTCTATTCTTCCCAGGCCTTCCTAGCACTTGCTTGAATACTGTTTGCATTAGTTGAAGAATTCTGATATCTTAAATTATATGGTCCTTTTCTGAATTTTTTATTTAGAAACTACATACTGAAAATCTTTGATGCACATTATTAATTAATTCTTGCTGTTACTATCACATTCATCCCACCTTGGAGAGTGGAGGACACGGCCTAGTTGTCATTAGCATTCAGATGTTCAATAGAAGAAACTAAACATTAAAACTGCAAAACCAATTACAGATCAAACCCGACTCAGTGTATGGGTCCTGGATGGAGACCCAGGACACTCGAATCTACTAAAGTTTGCTCTCAATGAGGAGACGTTTCCACACACACTGATCATCCTCACAGTTGCCATGACTACACCATGGGGAATCCTCGATCAATTGCAAAGCTGGGCTTCAATGCTCGGTGACCATATAGATAAATTGGATCTCACACCTGGTAAGTTATTAATGAATTAATATAACATTGTAAAAGTCCATTCAAGGGAGTCATTGAGAGCCAGTCAGAAAACTCTATATGTTTATGTAATAAAAACTAAAAAGATATTGTTTGTTTCGCTCCCTCTTAAATCGTCGACATGAAATACACAACGTCTTTTTCGCTCTGATTGCGTGAAATTAAAGGTGACCATCCAAGAGCATATATAGCTTAATACTTTTATACTTTGGACCACTCTTAGGGCACCTTCAAACTAGATGCGCTGCAGTGGCACCACTACTAATTTTCGTACAATATTTAGAAGTGCAGTTGCAACGCCACTGTAGTGACACGCGCGCCCGACTTTTGCAGTCACAATTGGTGAACAAAAAATTACTAAGTGCTAGACTGTTATGAGAGAAACAGAACAGATTCTATTTTTTCATATTGTTAATGTTGTTACGTAAAATAAATTATAAAAAAGGGGTACATTCACTAACAAAGTTCCAAAACAACTTATTATGTACATACTTATAATGTATGATACAATTTCTGTTATTAAAAAAGTTTACTGATGAATATAAAGTTTTAAGGCCTTTTTAAAAAACTAGATCTAAATTATATAACTGTAAGAATAAGTTTAAAAGATATATTTGCCTTATTTTTGCCAAATAAGGCAAATATAACTGAGTTTTTCACTACAATAAATATAGTTATTACATCACTATGCCTGACCTTACACTTTTTTACCTCCTCTGTAAATAATAGACAGTTCATTAATGTCTATTTATTGAATACATTAAGAGAGAGATTAATGTTATGTTGTATGATTTTCGCTCAAGATACTTTTAATATTCACTGTAATTACTAAATATAATGTTTTTAAACCTCAAGGACCACACACCATGAAACACTTTTAAGAGACTTCGAAATATCTAAGTAAAGTTTTATTATGTACACTAAAGCAGATTTACAATAATTGCAAATGTGCTTTTTAACCGACTTCAAAAAAGGAGGAGATTCTCAATTCGACTGTTTTTTTTTGTATGTATGTTACGCGATAACTCTGGTATTTGTGAACCGATTTTCATGATTCTTTTTTTGTTGGAAAGGGGGTTCTTCCATAGTGGTCCCATTTCATTTTGAATCATCCTCTAAGAGTGGCTGTTCACGCATGAAGATTCCTTTTTATAAATAGCGCCTGAATTTTACTTAAGAAGCAATTATTTTAATGGTTGATTTTGCTATTTCTCCAATTCAAGGCGTTTTTCTCTCAATATAATTTGAGTAGTGAGAACCGATTTTTATTATTTCTAGTGTCATGTCCTGTGTTATGGCGAACTAGGGCATATTTCAATAAAACTTAGTAAAAAGACGTAATTCCACGTACTTTTGAGGTCGGTTTTTTTAGTACTCTGTACCTAGATTATTTTTCGTCAAGTCATGCGCCTTGTAAGCGTCTCGCCGAACTTTAACAATCGCTGAGCCACTTAGGCTCAATTTATATTGCGGCGGAACGGAATGGAAGCGACTTTTTCAAACGATGTTGTACACAGCATATTGAGACCTAGACCACGTTTATTAAGCACAAAGATCTGCAAAACAGCTCTTCTTAGAAGGAGTGTTGTTCAACTCGCACCGGTCATATACAATAAAATTCCTGATCGTATAAAATCACTTGAAACGCATAAGTTCCAAAATGTGTTGAGCAATTTATTAATAGATAAATGTTACTATGACATCAACGAATTCTTAAATGACACTATAACTTAATATTTTTCACCTGACAAAGCCGCTTGACTTTTGTAATTTAATTGTTGGAATGAATTAATTTGTTTTTATTATATTCACTATTTTGGACATTAATAATTGATCTGACATTCTTGAATACTAACGATATTATAAACATATGTAATACTTTGAATACATTTTATTTCTTTTTTTTTCTTTTCATTTTATATTGTCAATACCGGTAATTGTGTTAGTATTATAATATTCATATACCAAATATACTTTCAATGTTTGTATGCCAAATGTTTGGCCGGACACAGTGAAACTATACCTACTCATTTTGTACATGTCAACTTGCATATCTAACCTGTGTTTTCACAAATAAATGAATTATTATTATTATTATTGAACTTTATGATCAATTGTGTAACGTACACACTAGATACGAACCAAAAATCACGTCTCGCGTCTTCCGCAGAATTCTTTGCTTTCGCGAGAATTCCGCTTCTACCGTCGGCGACGCCTGGCGAATCCGCGGGAAGTGGCGCGAAGGCAGGCGCGGTGTGACGTCAAACATCGACGAAATACTATAGCCTCAAGGCGCAGTCGCGAGAAATTTCGTAAATGCTCGATCCATTCCGTTTCGCCGCAATGGAAATTGAGCTTTACACTGGCACTGTGCCCGTCACCTTAATACATGAATTTGACCACCACGTAAATTACATTACTACTTGGCGACAGATATAGATGTGGTGTCAGCACTTCCCTGGACGAACCCTTTCACAAGGAGCTCTACTGCTACTAAATATATAATAAAGCTATTAAATAAATCTAAGGATATTTGTATGGGAGGTACTGCTTACACTTTATTTTTTAATATGTCAAGCGATAACTTTACCAGTAGTCATGTCTTTATAGAGCATACAGATGACTACGTTCTCGAAGGCCTTAACTCAAATCCTGCATCTTAGGGAACTTAGTCATACGCTCAGTCCTACTGAAGAAGTCCCAGAAGCTGGTAGCCCATCCCACCGGTAGCCGTGCCTACTGGAGCCTGGCCAAAGCCGTGCAGTCCAATTTTTGTCGTTCGTCGCTGCCGCCTTTGAGGTATCCCAATGGATTTTTGGCCTATGGCCCCGAAGAGAAAGCCAATTTATTGGCCGACCTTTTTGGGGCTAACTCGCGCATTCACGACCAAGATGCGCAACCGCCGTCAATTCCCCACTGCGGAGTCACAATGCCTGATATAGTTATCAGGCAATGTGATGTCCGCAAGGAACTGCAGACTCTTGACGTGCGGAAAGCCTATGGTCCAGATGGGATACCTCCTATCGTCCTTAAAAGGTGTGAGGCGGAGTTGTCTCCCGTACTGACGCGCTTATACCGCCTCTCATACCAATCTAGTAACGTGCCCCTAGCTTGGAGGGAGGCCAACGTGCAACCTATCCCCAAGAAAGGAGATCAGTCTGATCCGACAAACTATCGCCCAATAGCTGTCACTTCAGTGCTCTGCAAAGTGATGGAGCGGATTCTAAATATCCAGATAATCCGGCACCTGGAACGTCACTCCATTCTTAATGATCGACAGTACGGGTTTCGGCCGAACCGATCAACGGGTGACGTTCTAGCGTATCTAATGCATCTCTGGGGTGAAGCTATCGACAAACAGGGCGAAACCTTAGCGATAAGTCTGGATATTGCTAAGGCCTTTGATCGGGTCTGGCACCGTGGTCTCCTCTCCAAGCTTCCGGCATATGGTCTTCCCGGCCGCCTTTGTGAGTGGATCTCCGGCTTTCTGCGCGAGCGAAGATTGCGTGTCCTTGTTGACGGAGGCACTTCGCGGCTCGTGACAGTTAATGCTGGGGTGCCACAGGGCTCCGTGCTGTCGCCCACGCTGTTCCTTCTGCATATCAATGACTTGTTGCCTTTTGGCAACATTCATTGCTATGCAGATGATAGCACAGTGCACGGTTGCTATTATAAACAACCGTCAAGCAGCCGGGAGGACCCTGAGAGAAACCGGGAAAAACTTGTCGCTGAGCTCAACTATGTTTTGGAACATATATCGTCGTGGGGCTCCCGAAACTTGGTTGAGTTCAACGCCAAGAAAACCCAGGTATGCGCGTTCAGTTCCAAAAAATCCCCATTCCTTCCACTTCCCCATCTTCAGGGTACAACGCTGACGCTGCAGGACAAGCTCAGCCTGCTGGGGATGAGCATCCGGAAGGACATGAGCAACAAAGACTATATAGAGAGCGTCATCTGTACCGCGTCGCGCAAGCTTGGCATCCTGAACAAGGTGCACCGATTTTTTACTCCAGAGCTGCGATACCTGTTGTATAAAGCTCAGGTCCGAAGCAGCATGGAGTACTGTTCGCACCTTTGGGACGGCTCTGCCAAGTACTTGCTCGATGCCCTAGATGGACTGCAGCGCTACGCCTTCCGTGTTGTCAACAATCCTCATGTAACTGAGCATGCGGAGTCGTTACAGCTTCGCAGAGATATAGCGTCTCTTAGCGTATTCTATCGCCAGTACCACGGTGAGTGCTCAGAAGAGTTATTCAACCTTATCCCTTCCTCTCCTTTCCATCAGCGGACCACCCGTGCCGGACTGCGTTGCCACAGTTGGACGGTCAGTTCAATACCGTCCCGCACTAAAAAGTTTGGCAATTCGTTCTTATGCCGAACCATCAAATTGTGGAACCAACTCCCGGCGCATGTATTCCCTCCCCTCTATAACATCGGGTCCTTCAAACATAGTGTGAAGAAGCATTTGGCCAGACCGGCAAAATGATAGTGACGGAGTGAAGATATTTGTGTTTTCCATCCGTTACTCTCATCTCTGGACTGTATTCGCACTTTCCATCAGGCGCGGTGCAGTCATATTGCCGAGTCACATTAAAAAAAGAAATAAAAAAAAACTATCTTTCGCTATTATGGCAATTTTGTTTTGTTTTTAATCTATATCTGTGTCTTATTGGTGAATAAAGTTTTATGTACTTATCTATCTGTAATACCAGGCCGTAGAGATTACACATTTTTTTTAAATTTGTTTATTAAGCTATACTATACTGACATTCAATTATATTGACAATTTTATTCATGAATTACTTAAACTATAACATCAGCGCATCTTGAAAACGCATAGGTCTCCCCCAGCTCTATACACCTGGCTCTGTCCCTTGTTAGCCTAGTCCATAGAGGTCCAGCTATTTTTTTAAAGTCGTCGGACCATCTTTTAATGGGACGACCTCTTTACCTCTTGGCGTTTTCTCTTGGTAACCATTCTG